ACGACGAGCATACACACGCTTAAAAAACAAACGTGCGGGCGGACGGATTGACTAAGACTGGAAATACGGACACGCAATGACAGTCACGAAATTGTCGTATGGTATCGCAAGGTAGGCCAACGAGCCTGAAAGGAACGCAGTGTCCCATGGGAGAACCCGCGCGCCAGATAGATTGAAGTGTGCGCGGAGCGTCAACATGCGGAGTGACGCAAAGGGATACATACGTACCAATGTGCAGGGGGGGAACAAACAACGGGTGAAAGGACATAAACCAATTGTTCAGATCCGGGCTGGGAGCATGCAAATGTTTAAACAAGAAGGCTGATGGATGGATAAAAGAAGAGGGAGAGATCGCGTTAGAGACTGAGACAGGGAGGGACGGAAAACTCATGCAGACTGATGCATACGTGCACGATGTGCAAAAAAAGAAGGCAGTGGTGCGAGTGAGCGTGGAAGTGACGCGCAACACTACCAATGGCCCCATCGGGGAGTCCTCTGGTTTCGTCTGCTTCTTGCGCGCATTCTGCATGGGCGACACGAGTTCTAGAGCACACCGTCGAAAGGGGCCGATGTTTTACCCGACAAAGAGAAGGCCAACGCAGCCAACGAAAACACACAAAATGGTGCACACCTCAAGCTCGCCTGTTGCGACGGGGCCCTTCCAATCTCAGTGAGAAAACTCCGCGCGCTGTGCAATACTTTCAAAATTAAGCATCTCGGCTACAAATGTAAACGACGTCGGACAACAAAACACAACAACTCTCCTTGAGCCCGCTTGCATTGCATACCGCAGAAGCAAACCACAAGCATCCTCTGCAAGGTCTTCACCCGGTCAACTAAAATGGACTTCCACCTTGGTCGCACCCCGACGTCACGCTCTCCATTCGTGAATACATCAAACTCTGGTCGCCAGTCCCATCAACGTCTACATTCTAATCTGAATGTCTGAATGTCCCCCCTAGTCACAGCTGATAACGACACATTGCATCGATGATACTGAAACGAACACCACATTCGTCTTCCAATGCAAAATAGACTCCGCTAAAAGAACTCGTCCCCTATTTCCTGGCCGCGGGTAAGCCGTGCATGAGAGGAATCAATCGAGACGTGCCCAACCGCCAGACAATTCCATCCTTCTGCATTCGTATTGCAAACAACGCACGTGCACTGTGCAAAACAAACCGTCGTCAGAGCGGCACGTGTGAAATCAAGAAATCAGAGCGGCACGCGACCAGCAATCGCGTCAGGACTGTCTCTGCAGCTACTGCCTGTGCTTGCCGCTGCCTGTCCAAACTGCCATCGGCAGCACTATGAGAAACGATCAGACTGCCTGCGCTCGTAGAACACACAGCTAAGATCACAGCATATCTGAAGCAACTGGCCACTGCACGTACCCATGGCTCCAGGCCGACACTAAACTGCAACACGGCGACTGTCAACGCTGAGAGGAAGGCGCAACACAATGCAACGTCGACTAACGACCAAGACGATCACCAATTCTTCACTACCAGCGGCTGGACCAATCGTGCAAGTCACGGAATGATCCGCGTGCCTCTGAGGGTACTCCTCCTCCGCCTGTTCCTTCAACATCCTCCTGATCCTCCTCGTCCTCGTCCTTCTCTCCCTCGTCTTCGTCATCCTCTGCCTCGTGATCGCCCTTCCCCAAGCCCACTCTTGTACGTTGTCTGTCTCCGCCATGCGCTAAATGGCGCCTCATGATGGCATGGGCTGGGCAGGGCTCAACTGCACATGAGCAAAAGGCTGCGCGGGGGGGAAGCGACGGGGAGAGAAGGCAGCAGGGAGAGGCGTGGAGAAGGACCAGGGGAAAATAATGGAGGCGATGAATACTGTAAGGAAGCGGGGGAGGCGATTGACAGAGAAATGACAAACAACACGGATTTACACAAAATTGCTTGTTTGCACCAACGATAGAAAACCAGCGAGCGAACAAATCTGATCGCCCACTAGCCACTCATGCAAATCACAATGACATGAGAGAGTGTACATGCATATGTATATATTGATGTGTATATATGTATATATGTCGTATGGATGGGTAAAGTAGGCAACCGCCGATGATTGAAGCGGAAGGCGATAAAGTGTATCAGGATTAGGGGAATCATCCGAGTGAGGGATGGCGAATGGTCTTGCATTGTCTTACATGGTCAAAACTGAGCTCCGCGGTACTCGATGTCGCTGTTGATGTGAATTGTGGCTGTTGGAATCCTTGTCGACGTGGCCCGCCCCACGACCCACCCGCGACCTACCGGCGAGCCGCCGCCCGACTCACGCCGACCCACCTTCGACAAAGGCCCTGCCGACAAATCACCACCTGCGGCGGGCCCCTTGACGCTGGCTGTCCGTTCGCGCGACCCTCCGGACGACCCGCCCCGCGAACCACTTTGGACGCCCGAAATGGGTAAAGAAAGAATGGGTACAATGCCCAACAACAAATGTTGTCCCAAACCAACAGCGGCCGCTGTTGGGCAGGCGGCCTTCTGTCCCGAATGGACACAGGCCGCGGCGGCGCGGACAGCGAGCCCTGTTCAGAATGAACAGGAACTGCTGTTGGGCATCGTACCCATTCTTTCCGTGCCCATCTCGGGCGTCCAGATGCTTTGTAACAGACGGGAAAGCACCTGCGGAAGGCCGGCTACTTCGAAGCATGCCAGCGCTCGCGGCGGGCTCCTGTGTCTTGATGCTCGAGCACCGCAGCCCCGGCCGAGGCAGCCCAGGCGGGCCCCTCACTCTTGACCGCAGTTGCGGGACTGGTGCCCAGGGGTCTGCCTCCCCCTCGAAACGACCCAAAGCTCCCCTGGACATTCGCTGATATTAGAAACGCTGGGGACGTGTTTGTTCGAGTCCCCCGTTTTCAACTTTTCGATTTCCAGCAACACAAAAGAGGGAAATCAGCTGCAGCGCTCGACCAATAAAACATATGAAACGGCAATACAAAACGCAACCGAACCGAAAACGGCGCAAACGATAATACGACAACGGAAAGCAAACCTAACCCGAAACGGACACACAACGTCGATCTTGAAAGCGGAGGGAAGAAAAAGACACGCCCCCGACATGTTTGAGATCAGCTCAACCCCAGGGACCTCTGGAGCCAACGAACGAACGAACGGCACGCGAAGCGTCCGCGGGCCGGAGGGGACGGGCCGCGGGGCTGCGGCCTCGGCCGCGGCCGCGGCCGCGGCACCCCCGCCCAGAGGCGCCGAGGTGGCGGGGGAGGGCCGCCGTCGAGCGTCGGATGCGGCATGCGCCGTTCTCGCGAGTGCGGGTCACGAGCGGCGAGTCTACAGTATTCGGCCTGACCTAAGGAACGATAAATAAGGAACGAAGCCCCTTTTTTCCAAGTAAGTCTATTGAGTTCGAAGGAACGCCAGAGGGATTCGCCGCCAAGAAGGTAGCGGAACGCATGCATACCAAAAGAACGACCGAGCCCCTTTTGAAAAGCAAGTGTTCCTTATTCAAACCGGACCCTGTAGCCGTACTCGCGCCCTCGCAGGCCGGACTCTGGGGCGCGATGCCGCGGACACGCGGTCGCACGGACACGCTCCGCGCGGGGCGTCCGCGCAAAGACGCCCCGTATCCGCGGGGTCGCGGTCCAGGGGCTCCGCCCGCGAGGCCGCAGATACGGATATGTTTGTCGCCAACGGACGGGGGCGGGCCTCAGCGGAGAAGGGCCAGCAGTGGTAAGCGGGCTACAGAAGGTGGCCACGAAAGGTGACCACAGCAAGTGGACTACAACTATGAGATGTCCCTGCTGTGACCTGAGGTGGCGCACGACACCACTTTCGCCCCCAGTCCTCGAGGGGAAAGGGGACAAAGAGCGGAGTGGGCCGAGGGCAGGCGAGACGGGGAGTGTTGGGAGGGAGGCAGAAGAATCGAGGTCTTCGGACGTTCGGGGACCCTCCGTGGAACTTGAGGCCTCCGGAAACATCCAGAGACAACGACAAAGAGCGGAGTAGGCCGAGGGCAGGCGAGACGGGGAGTGTAAAGAGGGAGGCAGACGAATCGAGGTCTTCGGACGTTCTGGGGACCCTCTGGGGAACTCGGGGCCTCCGAAAGCATCCAGAGGCAACCGGGCATGCCTCAGGCCACCTCTGGCCTTTGTGAGGTGCTCGACCTCCGGAGGTTCCCCGAGACCCTTGGAGGCCATGTTTTTATGGGGTCCGTATCCATCCGAGGCTCCTTGCTGCGACGACTCGTACCGCCGAAGGCAATTCAAAACCGGCCTGCTCTCATCCAAGGTGTGCACCTCGAAGGGGCAACAGTCACAACCTGTCCAAGCAGATCTGGACACCAAGCGGAAAGCTGGTGATCGCCTGTCTCTTCGACATCGTCAAAGTCCAGAGAAACGAAAAAATCGATGCAGCACAGTGCCACTGACAATTGGCCCGATGCAATGACAGCGCTGTTGAGTGTTATGCGCTCGGTGTATAGCCCTTCTTCGACCCGCGAAGTATTACTACGAAGCCTATTCATTGGCATCAGCTTTGAGATAACTGACGCTTCGCAACCGAATCACCAGAGAGCGTACGACAGGGCAACCTAAAACGCAATCCACAGGACGAAGGCACGACAACAACATCCCGAACGCAAGCAATCTAGCATGGGTTCTTTGCCGCCTGGGTGCGGCTCCGCCGACGGGTCTTGGGAGTCAGGGTCAGCCGAACCGAAGCACCTGGCGCCCTGCCAGGGAAAACCTAACTAACCTGCTCTACTTGACCGGTGCCGATCAGCACCAGTATGCGCGCGGCCTCGCTATCCGAGGACATCCGATGGCTGCTGTAGTGAGACAAAGGGGCAGAACTTGTGGAGGGCCCGCGTGAGAACCCGGCTGGGGCTCTCAGTCCAGCGCTACTCCCTGTCTGCATGCCCACAGACCTTCCTGTCTCCACAGGGGAGGGGGGGGAATGAGGATGAACCCCCGAAGAGGCGTTCATCAGTTCTGCCCCTGCAGCGACAGATCGCGGCGAAGGCCCTTGTCCTCACAGAGTGCAGATCAGGTACTGGTGGCCGTAACGCGGGATCATCATGGAGGGGCCCGCTTGCCACTCGTCCAGCTCTGGTCTCGCCCAGGAGCAAAGGCACGAGCAGGGGACGAGAGCAGGAGGGGGAGGACTATTACGATGCAGAGTGTGTGACAGAGAGTGGACCCCATCCCGCTCATGGCTTCAGGCCGGCCAGCTGCTACGAAGCAAAGGCAAACATAGTCAGATGTATGATGACCCTGCACCGCTGACAGTCAAGAGATACGTGCACATATCAGAGCAGCTGCGAGCTTCAATGGATTGCACGCATTGGCGCTTTCGATGCTTGGTCAATTGACCAAAGATGCTGGCATCAAGTATCTGAATGACCACAGGACCGCCGCAATCGGATTAGACTGTGCAGCTTGGTACCTAGAGCAACGTTCCAGTTGCGACGCCTAGAGCAGGCTCTCGTGACAACAATCAGCATTGCAATAGCACGCCAAAACCTACGGTCAAACCAAATGAGGACGCAGCATCGATAATACGGGAAATCAAGCAAATGCCCTTTCCACCTCGCGGGCGTCCTCCCCCATCCCCCTAGGCCCTTGGAAGCCCTCAAGGGCTGAAGAAATTAGCGGAAACGCGAACCGCCGGAGGCAGACCAGGGTATGGCCATTGCAACGCAAGTGCTCCCCCCGCAGGCCCTGACTTACCCCTGCAGTTATATTAATCAAGGGTGCTGGCCGCAAATACCTGAATTACCGCATGACCGTCAAAATCTGACTAGAGTTTGCAGCGTGGTACCTAAACCCAATTCCCGCTGCAAAGCCTACTGAAGGCTCGCGTGACAAACAATAGAAGGGCAAATGCACACCACTATCTATCTATCTATCTATCTATATATCTATATATCTATATATATATATCTATCTATCTATATATCTATATATCTATCTATCTATCTATCTATATATCTATCTATCTATATATCTATCTATCTATCTATCTATCTATCTATCTATCTATCTATCTATCTATCTATATGTATATATATACATAACTATATGCTTAAACACAGATGTAGACGCAGAATCGATGGTAAATACTTATAAGGCTAGTGCCCTTTCCACCTCGCAGACGTCCCCCCCCCCCCATCCACTCTGGAGGCTCTCAAGGGCCACCAGAATTCGCAGAAATACGAAACACCGCAGGCGGACCGGGGTATCGCCATTGCAACGCAGGTGCTCATCTGCGGGCTCTGACTTGTCCCTGTAGCCCGAGTCTGCACATCGACTCTTGATCCACTGGTGAGAAATCACTGCGGTCGTCAGTCGAGGCTCATTCTCGATCTCCGCATCCTTTATGTCCGATCTCATCCTCGATCTTCCATCCCCTCCTTGGACGCCCGACCTGGGTACGGAAGAAAGGGGCACAATGCCCAACAACAAACGTTGTCCCAAACCAACAGCGGCCGCTGTTGGGCAGAGGCGGCCGCTTGCCTCGACTGGACACAGGCCGCGGCGGCGCGGACGGCGAGCCCTGGTCAAAATGCACAGGAACTGCTGTTGGGTGTTGTACTCATTCTTTCCGTACAGTCGGGGCGTTGACCTAAGGAACCCTAAATAAGGAACGAGGCCCCTGTTTCCCTTCATTTAAACTTCGATTCCCCATGGGAAACCTAAGGAAAACCCAAGGCAAACTGTAAAACAATCAAGGAACACCGAGCTCCTCCCCAACGAATAGGGTTCCTTTGTCAGCGCCCCGACTGTACCCATTCCCTTCGTGCCGACCCTCCTCCTGCGCCTCCGAGCGGGGCCCGTCCTCCCGGCAAGGGCCCCGCTCGGAGACGGCCCCCCCCCGGGCGCGGGTCCTGTAGAACTCGGTGGACGAGAGCACGCCGCCGTTCTGGCCGCCGCCCACCTGGGGCGGAAGGCCCGCCACATCAGCACGCAGCGATCCTGGCCAGGCCCACCCCGGGCCACTTGCCATCGCTCGGACGTCCATTCCCCGTGCATTCGTCGATGTCGTGCGGGTGTGTTTTTCTTTTTCGCTCGATGATCCAGGATGCTCCTCAAGGGTCCTCGCCGAGGGAAAAATACGCACGTCCGAGCGATGCCAGGGCCGGGGATCGGTGTGCACGCCCGCAGGGCTGCGCCAAGGAGTGCACACGCACGGGTCCTGAGCCTGGCCAGGTTCAGTGTACATGTATGTATCTGGCGCTCCCCGACGACCATGATGGAGTCCGAGATGCACGCCGCGGCAAACTCCATCCGGGCTTCCTCTGGGAGAGAGATATAAGGAGCCGAACTCTATACACCGACGCTTTTTCCCGCCCCGCACTGAAACTCGCACTGGAAAGCGTATCCTGGTGTATACGGGATCCTGCTGTATACATTTGTCGTCGCCTCCCTGGGAAAACGGGGAAAGAGTGTACACCACACCACCCCGACGTCGTCCCCGACCCTCGAAAAAGTCCTGGAATTGAAAAACAGCCCGCCACTGGTTATGTATATGCTCCAGTTTCCGAAAAGAGAAAGAGAAAGAGAAAGAGAGAGAGAGAGAGAGCACGGAAGCAACCGCGGGGTAAAGACTCACGCCGAACGGCGCCGAGATTCTGACGGGCGCCCACTCCTAGACGACTGGCACATATTGATTCAGACACCCACACACACACACACTAGGTTGCCCATCGTACGCTGCGCTTACCCGGCATTGGGCCAGCAACCTCCTGCGGCATCGCTGGCGGGGTACCCCTCGCCAGGCGCCCCACCACCGCAGGTGCGCGCAGAGGGTGCTCCGTCTGCTCCATTCGGCCCCCACCCCCCACACCCCTGCAGCGGCGATCGGCCGCCGCTCGAGAGGCAGACATGGAACTCTGCCGGTACCACTCGGCACCAGGCCCCCCTGCATGAGCGATCACCACTCTCGTCCGCTCAGCTGGCCCCTGAGATGGCCGCATGCGGGATCCTCTCGGCCACAGCGGGCCCAAGCTCCGAGTCGGCGGGCCGGCCGATCCAGGAGGACGAGGAAACCATGCTCCTCTCGCAGCTTCCCGACAGCGGCAAGATCGGTAGCCCAGTGGCAGACGACGTGGATGTCGCCACCGATGCATGTCCCACCGATCCAAGATATCACCCACCCTCCCCACCCTCCCCCTCAGAAATCGTGGGGGGTAGGGGTAGGGTTCGCATGTGGCCCCCTGGTGTGTGACGAAAAGGGGGCGCGCTTCACGGGCCCCTGGGTGCGGAACATCTATCTACACGTCGATCACCGAGGGCCCCCGCCACCCTCGTCGTCGTCGTCGCCGTCGTCGGCCTCGTCATAGGCGTCGGTCGTCTCGTCGTCGTCGTCGGCGGCGGCGTCGTCGTCGTCGTCGACAGTCGTCGGTCGCAAGTCGGTGGTCGTCCGTCGTCGTCGAGCCGAGGTACGGCAAGACCCTGAGCTTCAAGAGCCTGGTCTACGTCGTCAAGGGCTACGGGGTCAGGGAGGACAAGCTGCTGGAGCTCGGCAGGGAGGTGGAGGAGGCGGACGCCGAACGACAGGCGGCCAGAGCGCCTGAGGCCACGAGGAGGAGGAGGAGCGGGGGGAGGAAGTGCCGCCAGTGCGGCGCCTCCCCACGAGGGCTCGGAGAGGAGCCAGAGGAGGAAGCACCGCCAGCGCAGGGCCTCCACAGAAGGGCAACGCCGTTGACCTGTCGTGCAACTGACTGACAGGAGCACAGGCCAACATTGGGCCCTGCTGGGCCTTCAAAATTTAGACAAGCTTCTTAATCACCTGTCTTGGGGTGCTTGCCAGCTTGAACGGCATTGATAGTAAATCTCTGCCTATACCTGGCCTGCTTGTCCTCGACGGGACCTTTACAATCCTTGTCAAGATTGCACTTGGCAGCCTGAGCTGACGCTTGACAGGAGCCGCACAGGGTGCACACCACGACACCACGGGTCACCAACAACTGGTGCCTACGGAGCTCGACGATCTCATCGGGCGGCGGCACTGACGATTCGCTGTGAGCCGGAAGCGCCGCAGACGAGCTAGAAAGGCCTCCTACCTCGGCAGCCCACGGTAGTGCCGGCTTCACTGCCAAAGACTGCATAGTAGGGCCCCCCTGCAGGCCCATGCCCGTGGACGGTATCAAACTCTGCTGAGGGGTCGGGGCATTAGGCGTGCCCAGCAATTTGGCCAGACTAGCAGGGGTCCTAGCTAAACCTAAGCACGCTTTACATTGGAGCACCTTGGCCCCTTAAATGACTATCTGCACCAATTCATGCTGGGTGAGGTCCAACTTCGGGACCACGGCAGACGGGGTCGTATCAGAACGGGCGGGGCGCCGTCGGGCGCCTGCCGAGGGGTCGACCTGCCTTGCTTCATTTCGGCGCTTTTCGCAACATCCGCAACGTCGTCGTCGTCGTCGTCGTCTGCCGGCGCCAGGGGGGGCGGGTTGAACCCCTGGGTCTTGCGCGAGAGGGGAGTCGTGACCCCCCCCCAACTGCGCAAGGGGGGAAGGTATTTTGAACCCCCCACACCTTTTCGGGGGGGGGGTCTCCTCGGTTCCAGGACGCCCGGGACGTTGAGTGGGGCCGGGGCTGGTTTAACGATCGCCCCCCTCAAGCGACCACAGAACGCGCTCTTCTGGATGTCATGACCCCGACACCAGACGCGCAAAGCATGCCAAGCTAAACCATTCACAATTGTAGACCGCCTGAAGGTAATTCCCTGGCCTGCTGGTGCAAAAGCAGCGTCAACTAACACGTGCACGTCCTCCGAAAATCACCCGAGGGGCATGTACAAATAATTGTGCACGCGCCTGCTGAGGATGGGGCGGGAAAGACCTCTCGGCGACTCCTGTAAATCGCGTTTTGTTTGACGATGTGTTTGCTTCCACCCCCTCCATCAGAAGACCATGGGCCAAAATAATCATCCCGCACACGCCAGCTACATCCGTTGCTTTCGCACAGCTAGAATAACATGCGGGTGGACCTTCAGTGCTGGATGTTGCGCGTCCCGCAACTCATACTTTCGCCCTAGTTTTACTTCGAGGAAAAGCACACACTGTGGGTAAACACACACACAATAACACAACACACACACACTGTGGGAAAAACACACACACACAACAAACACACACACACACAAAACACACGTGGGAAAAACACACAGCGTTTTGTGTGTTTTGTGTGTGTGTGTTGTTTGTGTGTTTTGTGTGTGTGTGTGTTTGTGTGTGTTTGTTTCCCACAGTGTTTGCACGAGCTCTCGCTCTCGCATCTAGAGCCAGAGGCACGCAGGCGGCGGGGGGACGCGCTCTGGCCGTGGATCCGTGGAGGCCCTGCGCCTCCTGGACGTGACCTGACAGCCGGAGCTCCCCATGCGTAGCTCCCGCGGCGACCCTGGCGGCCCCGAAGGGTGCGCCATCGATGTGGGCAGCGCTGACTTGCAGCACTGAACGTTGCCACGCAGGCAAATGAGAAAAAGGCTGCAGGCTTCGCGAATCGATGTCTACCAACGATGCACTGACAACGTGGAGCACTTTACTTAGCACCAAGACTGCAATCGAGCGCTGCCCAACGCCGTCCTGCATCGACTGTCTCATGCTAAACGAGTCGGTGTCCAATGCTTCCATGCTTACATGGATGTTCTGCTCGTTGTCGATGCCACCTGAAACAAATAACGCGACAGCCAGTAGTAATTCTGATAAGGGCACGACACTGTGTGACCACGCTGCTCAGAAGAAAGTCTCACGTCGTAATTGTTTGACAATCGCCGCCGCTGCGTCCATCAATCGCCTGCCCTGTATCGCCCAACATAAAATCACAACTCCCTGGCCTCGGATCACAAACAATAGGAGGGAGGGAAGAACAAGTGCGTGGCTGAATGCACTTTCCAAAAAGCTGGAAGACACGCCAACAACATCACCAAAACACGCACGCGCATATAACATGCTTGTCATAGGTGGTCCATATCCGCCACCGTACCCCGAGGCACGAACTGGCCATCGCTCGGACGTCCATTTCCTTTGTTTTCGGTTTCGTACGTGGTTTTTTCGCCAGATGATCAAGGATGCTCCTCGATGGTCCTCGCCGAAGGAAAAATGCACACGTCCGAACGATGCAAGGCGAAGTGGAGTGTCCCTAGGCCCCACAGGGTCCTCTCGATTGGGTCGTTCCTGCAACACTGCTCTCTTTGAGTGGCCCGCAGCCCAGACTTCCGGGCGCTCTTGGGCGCTCCCGGGGCCTGGCGCGGGCCGTCGCGCGACTGTACCAGGAGGCGACGAGGCCCTGTAACGTGCCAGGCCCCCAAGACGCCCCACGAGAGCCCCATGAGCACCCCCCAGAGGGCCCCAAGGGGCACACATCGTTGACTTCAACGAGGTGTTTAAGGAATTTCATCGGTCTCGCCTTTTCGGGCTCCCGACGCTTCCAGACTGCACAAGAGGCACCCAAGATCCCCCCACGCCCCCGAAATACCCAATTCATCGGCGCTACGAAAGCCTTGACCCGCTTCGTGCTTCCACCAAGACGCGTCTTAGCCAGGAGCGCCGTTGACGTCTCCTCTCTTATCGCGGGCGCAACGCCACTGACGGCGTCGTACTAGGGCTCTGTCGCCTTGCGGGAGGCGCTGCATTTTGGCCGAACTTTCGCAGCGGCGAAGTATGGCAACCGCCTTATGATGGGCATCTGGCCCAGTGCCCTCCCAAAAGACGGCCTCCAAACGAATCCCCCAAACACGATACAGCGCAAATGCAGCTCAGGGAGACCCCCAGACCGCCGTGCAACCCCAAGGCCTCTTGAGGCTCCCAAGACACCACGAACGCTGCCGAGAGGCCCCCAATGGGGGGCACACTGCCTGGGGCTCCTGAGGATCAGATGCTCGTTCTGGGGACCTTCCTGGAGCCACTCGCTCCCCTCATGCGTCGCTGGTGTGCAGAACGTCCGTCGCCTTGAGCCGAACTCGAGTCGACCTTAGGTCAAGCTAATTCGAACCAGCGTGGAGCCGAACTCGATTCAGCGTCGAACAGGTCCTGCAGATGGGCCGCAGGCAGGTCCCCCAAACGAACACATTTGACGACGGGGGCACCCCGAGGAGGCTCCCAAGGAGGCTCCGAAAATGACCCGAGGACGCTGTTGTGCAGCCTCCTCAAGCGCGGAAGCGGATGTGCGAGGCAGCGCGGCTCTTGCACGAGGAGGGGGGAGAGGAGAGAGGCGAGATGGACGAGAGGGCGAGAAAGGGAGAGAGGGCGGGGAGAGGGAAGAGAGAGAGAGAGAGGGTGAGAGAGAAGAGGGAGGGGAGAAAAGGGGAGAGAAGGAGCGAGAGATTGACAGAGAGATCCGAACACTCGTTCGTCATATGTGTTGTATATCCGCGGACCCTGGAAGAGGACATCATACAGCGCCCCGCCATCAAATAATGGTGGTGGACTTGCCGTAGGCAACTAGATAGGCCAACCGAGTCTACCCACACCCGGCCCTCTTTCCTCACGGTCGTGAAAGGAGGCGGCTAACCCAGAGCGAACAAGTGGTTCACGCAGCATACAGCCTGCCCTGCCGACCGCACCGCGCACATCTCGAACTTGAGAGTGTCCCACCTTCGCTTCCATGTATCGCAAGAGCACGCAGAATCCAAACTGTGCTGGACCACTGTGAGCGCATGCGTGTGCTTGTGGTTGCGCGTGCTCCGTTTTGATAACAGATGCATGCGATGCCGAAGTCTTCTATACTCTGTGGGTGTCGCGGGGGGGGGGGAGGGGGGCATCCCGCGATTCATAATGTGTGGGAGGAAGCGCGCGTACAAGCGAGCTCCTCAAGACGCTTCGGAATACATATATATATAAATACAGACATACGTTTATACTATAGTCACGCGCGAGCTTCGCGCGCGCTTAACTTCTAGTGCGCCAAGGCTCCCGATGATAACATAAGTGCGCATGTGTCCACAGGCGCGTAGGGATCGAACATTGCGACGACAATGACAAGGACACACTCCGAGGGCCAAGGAGAGACGCCTCACCATAGGCCCGCCTTGTTCTTCCCAATCCTCCGTCGGTTTCTCCTTCAACTGCGTCTCATCGCCCTTCTCTTCCGCTTCCGCCTCCTCATCCTCATTCTTCTGATTCCCTCTTGGACCCCCTCTTCATCGCCCTCACCATCGTCATCATTGTTATCATTACCAGCAGCATCATCATCATCACCGTAATCCTCATCACCATCATCGTCATCCTCACCATGATTAGTATCATCACCTTAATCATCATCATCATCATCATCATCATCAAAATGATCAATACCATTATCAGCATCACCATCATCAACATAACCACCATCACCATCATCGTCATCACCACCATCAACACCATAATCATCATCACAACCACCGTCAGCAGCATCACTATCACCATCATCATCACCCCAATCATCATCATCACCAGGATCCTCATCACCATCATCATCACCATCATCAGCATCATCACCATCAACATCATCATCACCATCAGCATTCTAATCACCATAATCATCATCACCATCATCACCATCGTCATCATCATCATCGTCTCACCATCAGCATCATCATCACCATCATCTCACAATCATCATAATCACCATGATCAGAATCATTATCATCAGCAGCATCATCACCATAATCACCATCACCATCATCTCCCTCACCATCATTATCATCATCACCATAATCATCATCATCATCATCACCATCACCATCATCACCATCATCACCATCACCATCATCACCATCATCAACATCACCATCATCATCACCATCATCAGCATCACCGTCATCAGCATCATCAAACACATCAGCATCAGCATCACCGTCATTGTCATCAGCATCATCGTCATCAGCATCAACATCATCATAAGAAACACCAACATCACCCTTACCATTATCAACATCACCATCATCATCAACATCAGTATCATCATCAACATCACCGTCATCATCACCGTCATCAGCATCATCAACATCATCATCACTACCATGATCGTCATCATCATCATCATCACCACCATCATCATCACCGCAACCACCATCACCATCAGCATCAGCATCATCACCATCATCATCATCATCATCATCACCATCTTCATCATCGTCATCACCAGCCTCATCAACATCACCATCATCATCACCATCATCATCATCATCACCGTCACCATCATCACCATCGTCATCATCACCATCACAATCAGCGCCATCACCATCATCAGCATCATCATCACCATCATCATCACCATCGCCATCACTATCATAATCATCACCATCATCATCACCATCACAATCAGCATCATCACCATGATCAGCATCATCATCCGCATCATTATCATCATCACCATCATGATCATCACCATCATTACCATCACCATCATTACCACCACCATCATCACCATCAGCATCGTCACACCACCATCATCATCATCATCATCATCACCAGCATCATCATCATACTCATCATCATCACCATCATCATCACCATCACCATCATCACCATCATCATCACCATCATCAGCATCACCAGCATCATCACCATCATCAGCATCAACCTCATCCTCACTGTCACATCATCGTGCCCGTCGCCCTCGTCACTCTCTCACAATCATCACCATCATCAGCATCACCATCACCAGCATCATCGCCATCATCGTCATCACCATCGTCACCATCATCATCACCATCACCATCATCATCACCCCATCATCATCATCATCATCATCATCATCATCATCATCATCATCATCATCATCATCATCATCATCATCATCATTATCATCAACATCACCATAATCACCCTCACCATAATCATCAATCGAATCACCATCATCATCTATACCATCATCATCGTCACCATCATCATCATCATCATCATCATCATCATCATCAGCATCATCATCATCATCACCATGATCAGCATCACCATCATCAGCATCACCACCATACGGCCCTACAGGGCCCCAAGGGAACCCAACACGCCCCAGAGAGGTCCCCAAGACGGACCCCGAAAGCGCCAGACGGCCCAGGAGCGCTCTCTGACGTCTCCAGAGAGCCCAAATATTGCCCAAGAGGGCCCCAAGAAGATTCCCCAAACGGCTACAAAGGCCCGACAAGATCCCAAATATAGCCCGAAGTCGGCCTGAGATGGACCAATCCCCACAGTCGTTTCCCCAACAGCTGGGGGAGCACACACTCCAAAAGCCTGGCCGCACTTCCGCCCGACGTTTCACCACACAGGCGATTCCTGAAGGCAGGGCGCGGCGGTGACTCGCCGAAGGCGTCGTCGATATCTAGATGTCCAGGAAAGCATGCGCCTCTTTATTTGCAAAACGACGTGTGCTCAGGGATAGTCGCACAGCGCCGAACAACAGTTTCGCGCTTGCAAATACAGAATCTCCCATCGTATGAAGCAGTAGTTATCGCACGAACACACTAGCACATTATGCAGCCCTCTTCCCGACTGCCTCCCCGAACAGAACTGATGCTTGCCTGTTGGCTCGTGGATCGAACACGTCAACGGTGCTCATCCGCGTACCAGATGTTCCACCCATAACCAAGACCTTCTGATGAGCACAAGACATGAACAGAACATGGAGGGGAGGCTTAGTAGGGGAAGAATCAGGATTGGAACCTGCCGATTGGGGGCTGAGGATGAGGAAAGTAGGAGGATGCAGGAGCGCCGACTCAACACATAATCGTAGATGGCCCTGGGTATAGCATCGTAGATGGGTCTGCTGTAGGTCTCTGCTGATCAGCGTGCCTGGGAGCCTCGAGGTGGTCGAGGGAGGCTCGCGCAGTGCGCAACCCTGACGCGAACTTCGGTCAGGCCTGGATGGGTCGTGTGCGATTGCGCTCATCCATATGATTCGAGTCGTGTCTAACAAGCTTGCGTCTTCGGTTATTTCGCGTGTAGCGGTCAACCACGCTCGATCTCCATTACAACATGGACATCAATTCGCGAACGCAATATCAGGGTGGGGGGGGCGAACGGTTCTACATTGCACCCCAGTGCGTGGCTGAAGTGGGATTGTTTTGCTTTCTTGTCGTCATCCCACCCGCGACCCACCCCGGGAAACATCTGCGCCCCACCCCGCGACCCATCCACGACCCACCCCTTCACCCACCCGCGATTCACCCCGTGTCCCACCCGCAACCCACCCGCGACTGACCCGCGACCCACCTGCGACCAACCCGCGACCCACACCGCGACCCACCCGCGAGCCACCCGCGATCACACCGCGACCCACCCCGCAACCCACCCCGCGACCCACCCGCGACCCACCCGGCGACCCACCCGCGACCCACCCGGCGACCTACCCGCGACCCAGCCGCGACCCAACCGCGACCCACCCCGCGCGCACTCGCGACCCACCCCGCGATCCATCCGCGACCCACCCCGCGCCCGCCCCCATCACTCTGATCCGCAACTGCGGAGTGTTACACACATTTCACCGATTCGCCCACGGAGCGATTCTGCAAGTGTGGTCGGGTGCATGACGGGATGGGTGCATTGACAGAGGATGAGGGGGAGAAGGATGGAGGACGAGGATACGCCGAGGATCTGAATGAGCCAACGAGCAAGCGAGGCACTGAAGCAGGCCCATGCGGCAAACAGGCTGTTGTGTCTGCGGCCGCCTGGGCAAGGGCGCATGGGGCCGTCGTCCCTGGAAACCCTGCAGAGCTCTGCCATCGGACATGGGCCTGCATCGTGCACCCCGTAGGTGAAGGGATCCGGTGGGATGGCGGTGGGAAAGGAGATGGGGAAGCCGAGGAAGGCGGGCTGCCGCGGCAAGGGCGGCAGGGGGCGGGCGGCTCCACACCTTCCCGTCTACGCTGGCGGACATCGCGGACGACCTTCCCGCCCGACGGCACCCCCTCCTCTGCGCCCGCCCCGAGATCAGGGGGAGGCAGCAACAGGGGGGGGTGAAAGCTGGAAGACGCCGACTCTATACTCGGGCACCGATCCCTGGAAGGCCCATCCCGGCCAGGGATGGGCGTGTAACGCCGCAGCGCTCAGTGCGCAGTCTCGACGACGCAGCGTGGGGGGGGGGCCCTCTGGCCCTGCTCGATCAAGGACCGAGGGTCAAGGTTTTTGCGTGTGCTGCTGCTCCTCTGGGGCCTCTGGAGGCCTTCAGGAGCCTCTGGCCACCCACGGGGGCCTCCAGCACCTTGCGCGGGCAGGCACGAAACACGTGAGGGGTTTGCCGAGATGGCCCGGGCCCTGCTGAACGCCCGCCGTTCAGCGAGCGCGCGCGCGACCGATTGGCTTGTTGCCACTGGCGTCGGCCAGTTCCCCCTCCCTGCCCTGGACGGAGGAGGCGCCGAGACGGAGGCGAGTCGAGCCGACGACACTAGAGCCAAAGAGTCTGTCCAGGCCGAAAGATCGAGTAGACAGTGTTGGCGTGGGTGGCACCCTGCGTCGAGGGCTGTCGAAGACGTGGCACCCGACATAATCAACTCGGGGGCGGGAGAGTGTTCTGAACCGCCTCGCTGTCGCTGCCTAACGATGGACGTATTAGTCTGAGTGAGAGGGCCGAACGGTCCTTCAGTGTCCAGACTGTCCCTAGGCACGTGGCTAAAATGGAGTTTCGCGGCGCGGATTCTGCTTAATTGTTTGTTGTCGTCGTCCTCGCCCGCGACCCGCCCGCGACCCCCGCGACCCAACCCGCGACCCAGCCGCAACCCAGCCGCGACCCAGCCGCGACCCACCTACATTACTTTGGCGAACATTTGGCACCTGCGGCGGGCTCGTTGTGCAATTAGTCAAGAATCTGCGCCTGCTGCGAGCTTCTCCAAGGCCTCGCAGCTCATTCTTATCTGCAACTGCGGGGACTACCTATTCGCCGTTTCAGCTTGCATGCTGCCTGCCAAACATTCTCGCACAGAATACCGTAGAGCAGGTACGCGCAGCAAAAACCCTTGCTAACACGCGACTACAGGACCTCGCCCAGAGTCACCCCCCAGAACCCACCAGGGGGGCACCAGCCCGACCACCGTTTCGAGGCGCGCCTGGCTGTGACGAGCGGGGCCTGCACCCGAGCTCGCACTCGGCGGTGCAGACCTCCTCCCTCTCCCTCCCCCTTCGGGGATGCCCTGGTCAGGGGTGGAGTCGCGTCAGCGCCTGGCGCAGGCGCGGCTCTGCGTGCCAGGGCGAGGCAAGCCAACACACTGTACCGAGGTGAGTCGAGACGATCCGGCGCAGGCCAGGCAGGCATGAGGAAGGCCGGGGGCACCCGCGGAAGCCGCGTGAGCATACGCTGTCAGAGGGCAGCGCGGATTTCTTGGGTCGGCGCTGGACCCCCCTCCCAAGAATGCAGGGGGGCCCCACGCCGACCCGAGAAGCCCGTGCGGACATCTGCGAACGCTTGTCGTCATGCGATGCTTGGCGGTGGCCCAGGCAAGCTAAGACAGATGCCGACTCGATGCCGCGTGTGGCAAGTTCGACGCGTCTCCAAACTGCGGCAATGAACGCCTCACGAAACAGGGATTGCTCAAAGACCATTGGATCAAATGGACCACTCTGCCGACACTGCACGCTACGAGCAGCCCTCGCCACTACCACGACACAAGAACCGCCATCGATACCACCATTATGCACGCGCGGCCATGTATCAATGCATCCCACCTGGGAGTAGGTAGATCTGCGACCTGCATCCAATTCTTCAGCCGGGAGTCGTAGGCCTCGTGCTGATGGCATGGTCCAAAAGGACGACGACAAGAAGGAACTGCTTCGAGTGGAAAGACAAAGGGTACGCGGACGGCACGACATGTATCTGTACATCATTCGCCTGTTTGCAGGCCACCCCCTCGACAGCTGTCTGGAAGTGGCTGCCCTGTGGGGGTTGCTGAGGAACCGCGGACAGCCAGGAGCCGAATCATAGTCCGAGCGGCCAGCAACATCAGCGGTCTGCTCACCACCAGTCGCTGTGCCAGGGTCCGCTGCAGCACTCAGGCTCGCTGAGGCACCCAACGCTACCGAGCTCTGAGAGGACGTCTGCGGCAACCTCTCGCTAAGCAAAACGAGCTAGAGCCATCGCACGCGCTTCGCGGGCTTAGGCCTAACACCGCATCGAAACCACTGAAGGTGGGCCCCGGGGGGCGGCCCTTGACAACCTGTGGGGGCTTCCATGGGGCCTCTTGGTGCATCCGGGGGCTGCTTGGAGGTCTCTTAAGGCTTTCTGTTGGACCGAGTTGGGCAATTCGGGAGGGGGGCATCTTAGGTTGGCCCTCTCTGGCTGGCAGAAGCCAGAAAAAAAACGAGAACGCGAACATCCTTCAAACACCTGAACGGACAAAGCATGTTTTGGTTGCCTCTAGGGGCTGTATTGGAAGGCCCTCTTGGCAGTGTCGGTGGCCGCCTTGAGGCGTCTTCAAGGCGATAAGGGGACATCCTCGGGGGGAGGGCCCCTGACGCATCGTAGGATTCCCCCTACTGGGCCCCTCTTGGGGCCTTCTTGGGGCCACTTGGGGGTTTTCGCTGGGGCTTCTTGGGCCGTCTTGGGTCAGCAGTGGGCCTTCTTGAGATTCTCTTCGCAGTTTGATGTGGCCGTCTTAAACAAGTCTGGAGGGGCTATTGGGCCATATTGGGAATTGAATAATTGAGGCCCTGCGCGTAATGACGGTAGCACTGGATTCCAGCTCCTTGAGCCAAACTTTAGCAGTCCAAAATGTAAGCTCTGACGCGGCGAAGACCTGCAACCCTCCTCGAAGCTGCTGCGCATGCTAGCAGGCTCGCAAGGCAAACCAGCTCAATTACATCGTAACGACGCTGAGACTCTTCAACCTCGCGTCCACTCGCTAGTGAAACTGGAACAGACACGTTATAGGGAACCAAAGTATATCTAAACGTTCTCTCTCTCTCTCTCTCTCTCTTTCTGGCACTATTGCGCGCAACTGCCTCTGGAGCTGATCAAGCCCCGCAATATCTTCTCAACTGTCAAACCTCGCACTCCCTCTTTGGGGCTTCCCGGACCTGCCGTCGAGGGTCTGCGCGTCTTCATGTCACCCAAACTCCCAGGCCCCTGGCGCCGAGCGGGGTGTACCTCCCGCCGGCCTCGCGGTAAAGCTTGACCCTGCTCTTGTATGCCACTGGACCGCGCCCTCCTCATGACCTGAGCTTTTTCGTTTGCAGCTCTGGCTGTGGCGAAAGATCGCGACCTGCGCCGTCTCGACTGGAAAGCCTCCCTCTGCTCATCTTCATCTCGAGCAACCTTTGGTGCAATGCGAAACGGCGCAACCCATGCCTCTGTCTCAGCTCTCTCCGCCTCTGCACCCCAGCACCACGCGCGCATAGTAGCCAAACCTATTCGCCAGCATCGTAGCCGCCACATGGGGCAGCGCACTCCACTAATTGAAATCGCTCATCATGTTGACGTGGGTGTTTACCTCGCCCTTGTAATCATACTCCTTCACCTCCACCTGCACAGCCACGAGCATCGCCGCCGTCACCTTGGCCAGGACCTCGGGCCCTCAACGTCGCCCGCCACAACTGAGTGAGTCGCGGCGTCCGCGCGCGTCTCCTCAGCGCGCCTTTGCCGATTGGATCGGCACCTATGTCCGCGGCTTGGTCATTGGGAGCCACCTGCGTGACCTCCATCTCTCCGTCGCGGACCAGATCGCGATGTCAGATCCGCCGCGTCTATGGATTCCGTGCCCGTCCAACTCCACGCATGCGTATATGGACCGTCGCTGCTGCAGCCCACGTGGCCGAGAACTCCGACTCCCCGCTCGATGGCGCCACCGTCGCCTGAGATAATGCCCGGTTCTCCAGCATCTGCATGCGCGAGAGAACAACAAACGATATCCTCTTGCAGGTCGCCTCCTTCGCAGCCCAGTCCGCGCCCGCCGACGCCCTCACCTTGGGAGTTGTCTCCTGGCCCGATTAGAAAGTCGCGGTGTCGGCCATGACCTCCAGGTACCTCGCCAGCCACCTCTGATACAGGATGCGCTTCGCCCTGGGGGTCGTTGCACGAACAACTCTGCTGTCAAAAATCCCCGAACGTCGCGACGGTCGCTTGCCAAGTACTGACCAATCCGAGCACGACCCCTGCATGTCACACAACCGCGCCTTGATGCTGAGAACCCTGCTTCACGAGCCGCTGTCGCCGCGCGCAGAATTCGGCGCGTCTGCTGGGCTGGCCTGCTGTAGCTCGTAGAGCACCGTCATGTTTAGGATCAGCTTCGGCTCTGGCTGGCAAGGCGCCGAAGACCTCCCCGCCCCGCGTCGCAGCCCCGTTGAGAAGCGCGCATCCAACTGCTCCTCCAGGTCCAACCCGCGGACGGGGCTTCACCTTGAATCGATTGAACAAGATCTCATCGAACTCGTCTGGCCCCTCATCATACGCCACCCCGGCCATGACCAACGCGCAGAGAACCGATCCCAGGTTTGCAATATAGGCGGCACGCCGTCCTCAACTCCATATGCCCGTTCTGCACGATGTTGTGTCCTACCTCGTCTTGAAGTAGCATCGGCGCCTCTGGCGCCCCATGCATCGCCTTCTGCGGCTTCCGAGGCGTCGCTGGTCGTCGCCGCGAAGGCGTGGCCAGCAGTGCCGCGGCCCTTTCTGCGAGGCGTGGAAGGAGGCAACTGAGACGTCGTAGAGCCCGAGCTGCTTCCCCCGACTCTCCGTTGGACTCAACGACCCTGCCCTCGACGCAACCGTCTCTGCCGGCCACGGCGCTTGTGCGCCCGCTAATTTGGCGGGGTCAGTCCCGCCGCTATCTCCAGCGGGCGCAAAGGCTGCGCGCGACCCATTCGCCCCGATGAAGGCAACGCAACTGCCTCATCGACTCCTCCAACTTACCCCCGCTCGAACCTAGAACCCACGCATGCTCTTTATCTCATTGGTGCTCCCCTGGGCGACCATGTCCCCCGATTGCTCCTCGCCTGCGCGCGCGACCCTGTGGACTCCATCTCCCGCCTGCATCTTGAGTTTCACTCTTGGCTCGATCTCCTTGCAGGCGCGTCTGACATCCTTTCTCGCGATCGCCCCAGGATAAATACTTCCATATTCTGGCCCTCCAATCTTGCGGCAGCGGGTGCAAACTCTCCCCCGGAAGCGATCGCACCACCACTCATCTCTACGTCATCCTTCATCGGATCAAGGCCAAAGTGGCGTTCCGCCAATATTCCAAGTTCCAAGTGCTCGTAGTCCTGCGCCTGCTCATCTCTGCTGGGCTACCCGGGATCCTTCGGGTGGTACCGCCCCTACTGGTGGTTTCCGTTGACCTCCCCCCGCGACCTGATCTGGGTTCGCTGGAACCGCCATCTCCACTATTCGCTCGGTCGCGCCAGAATTCTCGGCGAAGCTCGCCCTGCACCTCCCGTTGCAAATGGCCGGGCTACCCCCGGAGGCTGCGCGGCCATCTGTTGGCCCATGCTCCTCGACCACCGACTTCGCGATGCACCTCCCCCGTCGCGCTACGTCGTTCTGGACCTTCGCCTCCACGCCTCTCGGGTTCCACGGCGCCAATGGACTTGTTCTACACCCCCATGGTGCGCGTGTCCTCGGCGCCCTATAGCACCGTCGCCCTGGCGTGCTCGACCCCCGCGGGCAGCGCCTGCGATGGTCTCGTCGCTCTGGTCGCGCCTGGCGCAGAACATCCCGCTTCTCCACCTCGGTTCCAACTTCGAGTAGTCCATCGCATGGATAGCGCAGTCGCTCGTCTCTCCGATCCTGCCCAACTCCGACATGCATAGGGCCCGCCCCCAGTCTTTCCCGCGCCGCCCCGCCGCCGGCATCGATCGCAAACCTCGCGCTCCAAAACCTGGCGTCTCTGACCAGCCAGGGCATGAGCAAACGCTGGGGTGCCTATCTTCACACTAAGGTCGAACTCAAGCTCGCTGCGGAGCGTCGGCAGCAAAGCCCCCGCGCGCTCCACGGCATTCTCGATCGCCCCATGCTCCTGTGAGAACCCTTCGGCGACTTCTCCGCCTGCTCGCAGTGCTCGCCTGTTCCTGATGGCCGTGGCCACCGCCTGCAGCGATGCCCGCGCGTCACCTTTTAACGCGACGTCGGCTGGGCCCCGCGCACCCAGGCAGAAATCGCCCGCTGAGTTGACGTACTGGCTCGGCCCTTGTGGACAACCATGATCGACGCCACTGGCTCTTCAGGCTCCTAAGCCATGACCGAGAGCGTCGCCATCTCCGCGTCAAATTCGGCGCACGAAATGGTCAGCGCTGATGAATGGCAGTGTTGCCGCCGCCGCTGGGATCGCGGTCTTATGAGCCCCCTCCTTGCCGCGCCCCCATAAGCACCATGCGCGCCAGTCTCTGGTGCGCTCGTGAATATCAATATCCGCAGAAATCTGCTTGTATCTATCCTTCATAGGCACCGGTCGCTGGGCCTCTGGTTCGGGCGCAGCTTCTGCATCCTGCGGGCAGGGCGCGTTGGCCCCCACGTCGAAGATGTCGAAGCCACGCCTCGTGGTCAACGTGATGAGCGGCTTGGTCCTCCAGCTCGGAATCGACCGCCCCCCCGGTCTCGCTCAACTCCTTGCCGAACTCCCTGCGCACCTTTTCGCCATGCCACTCGCCGCGGCGGTTGTCCTGCAACCGTCTCGTACATCAACTTGCCCTTGTGCCGGCTGCGCCGCGCCAGCGTTCTATAGCCTGTCGCAGGGGCGGTGCATCTCCTTCTTCTCGTGGTATCTCTGATGCAAAATTCAGCGGGCGCGCGCTT